GTTTGATTAAAAGAAGGACTAGGGGTGACATGATAGCAGTCTTCCAATATCTCAAGGGCTGCCCCAAAGAAGTGGGAATCAAGCTATTCTCCAAGGCACCTGAGGGCAGAACAAGAAGCAATGGGTGGAAACTAATCAAGGAGAGAAGCAACTTAGAACTGAGGAGACATTTCCTGAAAGTCAGAACAATGAATTAATGGAATAGAAATTGCCTCCAGAAGTTGTGAATGCCCCAACACTTTAAGTCTTTAAGAAGATGTTGGATAGCCATTTGTCTGAAACGGTATAAGGTTTCCTGCCTAGGCAGGGGGTTGGACTAGAAGACCTCCAAGGTCCCTTCCAACTCTGCTCTTGTATTGTATTGTGAGACTGCTGTATCGGGCTGCAACAAACACATTTAAAACACACACACACACACACACACACACACAAATGAAGCCATAATATTTACTCAAGAAACATTTCTAGCCTCGACTGCTTTGATTGAAAGTGAGCCGATAACCTGGATTGGATTTGTATAGGTGGAAATTTCATGAATGCCAGTTCTCAACACCTGTGTCCTTAGCGCTGGGTCATGTTGCTGGATCTCCGGTTCCATAAGGCTATACTTTTCAAGCGAAATCAAAAGAACGGGAAGAGGAGAGTTTTCTGGGCAGATAATTTCAGAGCTGTACGAGATCACAGTTGTATCCTAACCACTATCTGGGTCTGCGGTTGAGATGTCATTCTCTTTCAGCTCTCTTGCACGGACACATTAAAGACAATTATAGGGCAAACTTTGAAAACATCCTGGAAAACAAAATCTCTCCACCAGTTGGCCGGCAAGATACAATTACATCCACACTCCATTGCACAGAGGTCGCACAACGTAGGCAAAGCTTACAGCGGTCCTCACCTCACGGCCACAGTTGGGACCGGAACTGTGGTTGCTAAGCAATGTTGTTGTTAAACGAATCAATCCCGGGACCAGATCCCAATTTTATAATCGTTTTTACTCTGGTCACTAAAGGAATCACACAATTGTTAAGTGAACCCAGCTTCCTCCATTGATCTGTCTTGTCAAAAGCTGCCTAGGGGGGATGACTTGATGGCAAGACGTCGCAACTGTCCTAAACATGAAACAGGTGCCAAGCACCCAAACTCCAGTCACGTAACCTGGGGAGTAGTGCAAAGTGATGTTTCCTACCAGTTTAGACTGGTTCAGACCGGTTTGGGCGGACCAGTAGTGGTTTGGCAGCCTGGGTTGCTGGAACCGGCAGTGACCCAGGCCTGCCATGCCCCCGAACCAGTTCCCAAGGTGGCGCTGACATCTTGTTTTTCAGTTCTGGGCATGCACAGAACAATTTTAATTGCACTGCGTACGCGTGCACAGCACGCACAAAGCATGCACACGAAACGCACATACGAGCGAACTAGCAGTAGTGCTTGCCGGAACCCACCCCTGTGCGCATTGGTTGTAACTCTTGAGGATGGGCCATAAATCACTTTTTCAGAGGCTGTCATAATATCGAAAGGTCATTAAAGTAATTAATGGTTGCAAGTCGAGGACTAAATGTACTTAAGGGAGGTAAAGCCAGTTTATCCATCTGACCCAGAGAAATTATGTTTTTACCAGAATAGAACGAATAGAATGAATGAGCTGGAACGGACCTGGGAGGTCTTCTAGTCCAGGCCCCTGCTGAAGCAAGCAGGGACTGTACCAGTTTGGGCAAGAAGAAAGAAGGAAAAGTGATTGTATTACGATACAAAGATAGTCCTGAACTTTCAACCTTTCAAACATGCAATGGCACTGAAAAAAGTGACTCATGGCCATTTTTCACACTTATGACCATTGCAGCCTTCCCATGGTCACTAAATCAAAATTCAGACACTTGGCAACTGACTCGTATTTATGATGGTTGCATTGTCCATGATCATGCGATCAACTTTTGAGACCTTCTGACAAGCAAAGTCAATGGGGAACTTAACAATCGTGTTACTAACTTAACAACTGCAGTGATTCACTTAACAACTGTGTCCAGAATGGCCATAAAATGGGGCAAAATCCACTTAATAAGCGTCTTGCTCACCAACATAAATTTGGAGCTCAATTGTAGTCCTACAACTATCTGTGTGTCTTCCTGACCCCCATGAATACATTCTTCTCGATCTTAGCAAACCATTCTTTCAATGCACAATTCTAATAACACATTATTATTTACTAGCCAATAGATAACCCAGGTATTTATTTATAGGGGGGAAATGTTTGGACCAAACGTAATTTATAATGTTGGATTTTCCCCCTTACAGAGGGAGCCCCTTGTGGAGTACTGTGAAGCCATTACCATGGCAACTCCACTGTGCTGTATAGTAGAAGCCATTTTAAGGCACAACAGGCTGTATCTTAACAGCAGCACCACCACCCCAAGGGGTGTCTTACCCCCAGATATTTTTTTTATAGATAGATTTGCGAATCAAAATGGGAAACTCCAAGGACGCTGGATCCGAACAAGCATTTGCTGAAGTTCAACAGGTCAAGAGATAGGAGACGGTATACATCACCTTGAATTGTCTTACAGAACAAAAACAGTATGTAAATTTAATAAAGAAACGAAGCTACCTTGTAGATGCTTTCCTAGAATTCCAAGCTCAAAATGGCAATCCAGACAAGCTGGCTTACTGCAGACTATTTTAACCCAATGCACAACCCTTTAAAAAGTATCCCCCCCACCAAATGCACATTCTACATCAACGCTAATACAGTACCACTCAGCTTAAAATTTATCCCAGGAACCTTGGCCCAACACAGCATGCAAAAGATGCTAGGAATGTAACTACTGAATAAAATGACAATGCTTATAAAGTAATAAACGGATATATTTTTTTAAAAATCTAATAAATAAATAAATGCCCATTGGAAACATGGGAATCATAGTTCCAACACAGGTGGTTCTCGACTTATGACCACAATTGGGTCCAGAATTTATTTTTGCTAAGAGATTGTTTGTTAAGTGAGTTTTGCCACATTTTACGACTTTTCTTGCCAAATTTGTTAACCCTTAACATTCATAAATTGATAATACGTCAAACTGGCTTCCCCATTGACTTTGCTTGTCAGAAGGTCACCAAAGATGGTGACATCACTTTGGAACACCGCAACGTCATAATTTTGATCATGTGACCATAAGGGACGCTGTAATGGTTGTAAGTGTGAAAAATGGCCATAAGTCACTTTTTTCAGTGCCCTTGTAACATCGAATGGTCACTAAACAAACTATTGTAAGTCGAGAACTACCTGTACACCTAATTCAGGAGTGTCCAACCTTGGCCACTTTTAAGACCTATGGACTTCAACTCCCATAATTCCTGGTGAATTCTGGGGGTTGAAGTCCACAGGTCTTAAAGTGGCCAAGGTTGGACACCCCTGATAAGTTGGAGAAGACAACAAACATATGCATTTTGCCAGTACAGTAGAAACCATTTTAAGGCACAACAGGCTGTATCTTAACAGCAAATACCCCCCCCCCCCGGAAGGGTGAGTGAGTGTGTGCATTATTACACAAGTGAGAGGATTATTAGTCAAAATTGAACCATGAATGAATTCTTACTTTTCTGGCAGTGGTTGGAAGTCCAGCAGCGGAAGCTGTATTCATTATTTATGGAAGTCTTCTCACACAGCGGCTTCTCCTCCATCGTTCCTGGACACAAATCCCCACATTCTTTTGGCGATTTATTTCCTATAATGTAGTTATTGAAAACAGCATCCAAGATCAGAGACCAGTCCACAGTGGACAGGTAACAGAGGTCAGTATTCTTCTCGATCCGGATGGCTCCCCGAGTAATGTTCCTCAAGTTGTACAGCCCAATTTCCTTGAGGTTGGTCATCTCGAAGATGACCAAGGCGTAGTTGTAGAAAAGCCTGTTGCCCCGAATCACCGTCAGGTTTGGAAAGAGGTCGCTGAGGGTCTCCAGGCCAGCCACACGAAAAAGCAACAAATACTCGGTGATCATGGTGAGCTTGGGGAAGCGGAAGTTGCTGAAGTCCTCTCCTTGGTTGATCAACAAAATCTGGAGATACCCTTCCACCACTGTGCAGTTCTCCAGCTGCTTCAGTTCCTCCATACTGTTGCGTATGTCGATGTTTGGCCCACAAACTGGGGAGACAAAAAGAGTGGGATTTAAGATGGTTCAGTTCATGTTGTTAAAAATGCAAACGTAAATCGACCTTCTGCTGGGCACGAAAGAGAAGGCCCACAGTGACAGTTCGATTAAACTGCTTTATTGCTAAAAGTCTACACACAGGAATCTTCTCAACTAGCACCTGCTTGGAGTTAGACACGGGTCAACGGAATTCAAGGAAGGCTGGACTTTGTTCGTTTGTGGTTACGTAGAGATTCTAGGCAGATTCCTCTTTCAACCCCGCTTCTAGGTTCTCCTCCTACTTTCCTCCCAAATCTAATTTTAGCACAATATTTTTGTTCTGTTACTAAGGAAATGTTGTGCTAAAATTACTCCAACCGAATATCCTTCAATTATTTTTATGAGACTTTAGCCGTGATGGCGAACCTGTGGCACGCGTAGCCATTTTTGGTGGCACGGCAACCGTCAGCTCCAGCACACATGCGCGCGCCAGCCAGCTAATTTCTCACCCTTACAGAGAGCCAGGAGAGCCGTTTTCGACCTCCCCAGGTTTCAGGAAAGCCTCCGGAGCCTGGGGAGGGCAAAAAACGTTCCCAAACTTCCGATAAGGCCATTGGGGCCATTTTTCGTCCTCCCCAGCAAGAATCTGACTTGCTGGAAGTGCAAAAAAAAAACACAAGGGACTTTCTATCATATATGGTGGACCTGCCCGGAAACTCAAAACTACTATATGAAAATTTGGAAATGGGTACAACAAATTACAGAGAAGCAAATAGAATACAAACCAAAACTCTTTCTGCTGGGAATAACCAAGGGGAAATATAGAAAGAAAGTTAAATACATACTAATACATCTTCTGACCACAGCTAGAATAGCGTTTGCCCAATGGTGGAAACAAAGTAATATCCCCCCAGACAAATTAGTGATTCAGAAAATTTTGGATTGTGCAGAAATGGACAATTTTAGCACTAAAATTAAAGGACAAAGAAGAGTCTGAATACTATGAAAATTTGGGATAATTGGTACAAATGGTTGCAAACGCTATTCTAGCTGTAGTCAGAAGATGTATTCGTATGTATTTAATTTTCTTTCTATATTTCCCCTTGGTTATTCCCAGCA